GAGCAGGTTTATTCTATGTATACTAGAGCCCTAGTGCACAGATTTGTGCGCCGGTGGGGTCCCTCGGCCTGGCCTGTGGGGATCGGGCCAAAACCGGCTCTCCGACATCCCCCCAAGAGGTCCCAGATTGTGAGAGGGTGCAGGCCAGGCTGAGGGACCTCATCAGTGCATGATCAGGGCCGGGGAGGGACTAAGGAGGATGCCACGGCATAACCAGCCCATCTCACCCAGTCCCGATTGGCCGGACCCCAGAAGCACACTAACCTATCGGTCGGAGTGTCTGCCCCATAGTGGTCAGTGTGTGTGTGTCCGAGCAACTGGTCCAACAGTCGAATAGTCGGATACTTAGCATATTAGGCTTTTATTATATAGGATAAAAGGCTAAGTTGACTCATCTCAGCAGAATCCCATTTTCTATCCCAGAATAGATACCATTTGGAATCTCTTCCAAATGGAAGAGATATATATATAACACTCTCACTGGTGCCAACTGCACGTATGTGTTTTGAACTGTCATTGTTGATTGTGAATTTGGCCCACTTCTATTATAGAGAAAGGGAAAATAGTGATAGTAAAATATTTCTTTTAATTAACTTTCTTTCTATGTGCACGAATCTGTGCAGTGGGCCACTAATCAATAATAAGAGACAATCATTGACCAGCTGCCTCCTGCATGCCCCACAGCGGGGATCAAGACAGCAATACAGGCACGTGCCCTGACTAGAAAGCGAACTGTGACCTCTTGGTTCATAGGTTGACACTCAACCACTGAGCACACCAGCTGGGCTAAATTACATTTTAAAAGTGATATTGTACTTAGTGAAATAATATATATTTAGGCATTCTTTTAAAATTTGTTTTAGCCACAATTATAAAATAAAGGTTACTTGCAAAGTAGTCTTTCTACTATGTACACTTGCTGCTGGGTATGAATATTCAGCTATTTATGGCTGATATGTCACACATGTAATAATTTTTTTAGGAAAGATGCTTAATGCCATCTGTCATCTCAGTAATGATTTCAAAGACAGAGTTTTAAAAAAGAGACAAAGGAAAAGAAGGGAAGAGGCTGTAACAACTGTAAGCTGTGGTTAAACTCTATAAAAGTTAACATTCTAGACCAGCATCCTTCCCTGTCTTCTAAATCAATGTCTCAATAATGGCTTTTAACATATTTTAGGCTGAACTTAATTCTTCTAACATAGCTCCAAAGGTCTATTTTTGCTCATTGTATTTTTCCCCCTTTTTATTCCTTTTCATTATAGAATCTTGTATTACCTTTAAGATTACCTTTAAGGACCCTAATATAGTTGGAAGGAAGGAAGGAAGGAAGGAAGGAAGGAAGGAAGGGAGGGAAGGAAGGAAGGAAGAAAAGAAAGAAGGAAGGTGAAAGAAAGAAAAAACAAAACAAAGGTTGTTTGAGAGAAAGAGAGATTGAGAGAAAGTGAGAGAGGGAGAAAGAGAAGGAGGGAGGGAGGGAGGGCGAGCAGGGGTGGAGGAGAAGGACAGGGAGAGGGAGAGGGAGGGAGGAAATACCTTATAATAACTCCTAGGATCCTCTCATCACTGGAATTTTCCTTTGCTAAAATGTATTCTTGCCAAGAATCTGTTCTTGGTGGTCATTTGTTTTAGAATTAAAATAATATGCATGTGGTACAAGCAGAAATTTCACTTGGTACTGAATTTGGGTTTCATATGCCGTCTGCTGTTCAGTTACAAAGGTTAATTTTATTCCTCTTCTCTTCTCATTTTTTTATAAGAATATAAAATTCCCCAGCAAAACCAATGCAGGTCTTGAAAACTCAAAAGAAGAAAAAAATGAAATGTTCCATCATACCACTCAGAAAAAAAATGGATATAATCTTGTGACCACAGCATGAATTAAAAAAAATAAAAATAAAAAGACTTAGGCCCCAGCTGGGTTTGCTCAGTGGATAGAGCGTCGGCTTACGGGCTGAAGGGTCCTGAGTTCGATTCCAGTCAAGGGCACATGCCCGGGTTGCAGGCTCAATCCCCAGTAGGGGGCATGCAGGAGGCAGCCAATTAATGATTCTCTCCCATCATTGATGTTTCTATCTCTCTCTCCCTCTCCCTTCGTCTCTGAAATCAATAAAAACATACTTTTTAAAAAAAAGACATAGACTAGAGGAAACTACACAATAATCTGGACTTCTGATCTTTTCTAGGCTGCATTTATGACTCCAAAAATAAAAATAAAAAAAGATGTGGGACCTTCCTTTGGAAACCCATTCACTGCAAGAATTTTCTCACTCGTGTTAATCTTAATTTCTTCTACTGCATTGCTACTCACTGCTCATTTCCAAAAGAAATGTTTTTTAATTTACAAATGGAATACATATTCATTGACATAATGCAGAAAAACTCAAAGAATAAAATATTATCATTAATCATCCAATTATTTTAAAAGCATTTTAAATATAAGTATATAAATACATGTATGACATAATTGAGATTATAGTATAAATTATTTTTCATAACCTGAATGTGTATATGTGAACCTTTTTCTATATCATAAAATATTGTAAATAATACAACTTTAATGGCTCTACCATCATTTATTTAAGCCAAATTAAATTATCTTTATTTATTTCAACCAGTTGTGTCTTGTTACTCTATTATAAATAATGCTGTAATCTTATTTTATAAATATTTAAACCATATGTGATTATTTTCTTAATAAACATTCCCAGAAGTAAATATATTAGCTAGGCATTATGCATGAATTTTTTAAATTAATGGAAAATCCATGATGATGATTACAATTGAATTTATTTTTAAAAATTAATCAAGAGAGTAATTTAGGTAGATGAAGTAAAAAAAAAAAAAAAGAGGAAGCAGTTTACCTTGTGAAAAAAGAACAGGATGAATTTTGAACCCTCCTCCGTTTTTCAACCGTTGAGGCAGTTGTTCAAAATGATAACTATCAAGGTAGAAGTAAACTTTCAGAGCTTGCCGGCTTCCTTCCACTTGATATGTAAGAGGAACATCTAAAATGACATTTTATGTTATATTATTTCCTAAAATCAGATAGACTGCATAGCATAATTTGTTAACCTTTAAAAAGAATCCTGAACATTACTAGAAACTAAATATCTTAGAGTACCCATGTTTATTAAGTTCAGGTTGGGGCACCCTTACAGTGTCATTCAGGGAAAGACTATAAATCAGGTTCTCATGAACTAAATACCATTTATTACTGTACTGTATGTAAAATCCTGTAAGCGGAAACTTCATCACACTTGGATACATCAGATGTCTCACTTAACTAAACGAGAAGTTAAGCTACACATGGCTTGGAATCACCATCTCCCAGGGCCACTGCCTCACTCACATTTTAGTCAAACGGGTCCATGGGGTATACTTCTTAAGTAGTGTGCAAGGAATTGAGTACCACCAACCATTATCAAAGTCAGCTCCAGATCAAAACTGGATTATTTCTGTTGGTGTCCAACAGTCACTAGAAATTATCTTTTTTCAAATATCCTAAATTTATTTACTCATAAAAAACCAAAACCCAAAACACCAAGAGAAAATGCTGCAGGAGTATTTCACAGTGCTGTCATAAATCCTCTTCATTTTATGATACTTCATCATGGCAAATAATTTCCAGATAATTTTTTAAAAAAAGGAATGTAAAAACTTTCTTAAAGGCACTGTATTAACATCTACAGATCTCTTTTATGCATATACTAATAAAGTTCATTTTATTTTTGTTTCTTTTTTAAAAGGGAGATGAAGGATTTGGGTTTAGGAAAAAATAATAAACAGTTAAAGAGTTGGAAATAACTGCATTTTAATGATTGGAACAATCTTTTTATTTTTCCTGATTCTAAAATAAAGAGGAAAAGATGCATGGACACTAAAGAAAATACAAATTTCTATATTTTAAATATCGGTATCTTCTTGCTCCCCATTTCATACAATGTTATTAATATTTATATTTTTTTAATTTTGTTAGGTTCCATCCCTTTGTTCTTTGGCAACAACGTAGCCAATCGCTGCATAAGCAAATAAATAATGTTATCGGAAAGAAAATAATGCAGCAGTTGAGTTCTATATTATAGGACTAACAAAGAACAAATAAAGATGCTTATTTAATAAAGATGCTTATAAAGAAATTAAGAAACTGAAAATAAAAATAATCAAACAGACTGAATTTAAAATGAAGTTAAAAATGAAGAGTACTGCCTGAAAGAATGGAAACCCATTGCTCTCAAAGTATTTGGTGCACCTGAAAACTGCTGCCTTTTATTTGTGGAAATTTATCAACTATGAAAAGCAAACTTGATGATTAGGACTGTGCAATGATTAAAACCTTCAAAAATGTTATCGTATAAGGAAAGGTTTCAGATTCCATCCTACAGAGAGGTTCACCCTTGAGAGAAGTTTCAGTGGTGGGATCCCTCCCTGTAAACACGGCCCCCATCACAGGATGGGCCAGTGAGTTTGAAAATAAGCTTTTGACTCAGAAGTTGTTAGTTGCCTTCGCTTGAACTGCTCTTCCTTTTCCTTCTGCAGGGCTGGGTCCTTCATGCCCTTCAGATTTCAGCTTAAAAGCTACTTCTGTTGCGAGCCCTTCCCGGTGACTCCTAAAAGGGCCACCTCACCCTTGTTCTTCATGCCTTACTTATCTTCTGCACAGGATTTACCGTGCCCCTAACTGGTACATGATTGATTCCTTTCTTGCTGTCTTCCATTAGGCTGTGAGCGCCATGAAAACAGGGACATGTCCGGTGTCTGTCTTATTCACCATGGCATCCACAGCTCCAGGCGCATATAGATGAGTAGAGGTTCAAAAATACTCATTCCCCTAATAGTTACCATAAAATTAAAAAGGGGAAGATCTGCTGTCATTATATTATTCTCCAAAACCATAAAGATTTCCCACAAAATTTAATTATGTAAAAGATAATCACTTAGCTCCTTTATTCCTCCACCCATCTATAATAATAGAAGCGTAATATGCTAAGTAGACCGGACAGCCAGACGTTCCGGACGACCTTCCTGATGAAACAGGGGCTGTGAGGGCTGAGGCAAGCCACCGGGGCTGCGAGGGCCGAGCGCCTTGCACGATTTTCGTGCATCAGGCCTCTAGTTACATAATATGAGATGAGAAGTATCTTGTATTTTCCCTATACTGAAGTGGGTCAAATTGCCATGTATCGCTCACTGATCTCTAAGCTTTATGCCAACAGGGACTTTGTTTTATTAAGTCACCATTATATCCCTAAAAATTAGTTTAGCACTTAATACATTGTATATACTTAATAATTATTTCTTCCAAGAAAATGAACTATCTTCAATCCAGACATTTGAATTCTACTTGCTTTGCATTGTCATATTTCTTCAGAATCTCACCATTATTTACTTAAAAAATTAGAGTATAAATAATGCTAAATATACCTTTTTGAAAAATGCAAAGTAATAAAGCAAGGAGGAGGGATTAGAATATTTACTGAATATTACCATTAGCCTTATATAATGCTGGAGCCTCTCAAATACATTACTTTATTTAAAACTCAAAATCCTGAGAGTGGGGAAAGCTAATATTCTTGTGCAGATGAGAACAGAGCCAGGATCTGAACTAAGGTTCCTGGACTTCGAGGTCGATGTTCCCTATTTATTCTCTTTATATATTCATGCTTCCACCCTCTGCACTCAGTCCTTCTCACATAGACATGCAGCCAACTAGTTCTCATTACAGTGACACATATTAATTAGTCAATCGGATGCCTCTGCGTCTATGCTTATAGAAATGAAATCACATGCAATTAATGATAAAGCTCTGGTTTCCTTACACCACATCAATAGGATGTGATGACCCTCAGGTACTGAATCATTCTCTTTCTTGAAATTAGCTGAGAATAACTAGATTCCAATCATCACTATTTTTCATTTATTTGGAATACCTAGTCATGTAGCATGGGAACTGACCTTTTACTAGGTGAGGTTATGCTTCAGGGAAAGACATAAAAATGTATTGCCAAATGTATCGCACAGTTTTTGTGTTTGTCACAGATTGGTCTACATTTACATACAAAAGTTAGTTAATTGGTCTTAATTATCTTTAACAGTATATTTTCAACAGGCCAAAGTTAAATCATAGTGCATATGCAATAAGTAGATATTTATCAAGCTTCTGGTATCGGTCCTTCTGCTGCTTGTTCAACAGACCACTCAATCAGGAATGTCATATTTACACCACAGAAAACAGTATTCCTGAAATTTATAGTTCCTCAGGCAAAATTTAGAAGAAAGAAAACATTAGGTTATATTGTGGAAATAGAGTTTCTCTACCTTCAGCAAAGCTGTGCCTACATGACTCAAGCAGATGAAAATACATTTTATTTTATACTTGCCCACAGAAGACCATACAACTTGTTCAAATAATATTATCCTTATCAAATAATCCCTTTATCAAATTCTCCCTAGAATATAACCTATATTCTTAACATTGTAAATCATGTTTTTGTTCTCTGTCATTTATCAGTGAAGGTGAAAATTTAATAGCATTTTGTCCTCTTATCTTCATAATTTCATACATACAGAACCAAGGACTTTTACCATCTCCACAGCTACTGTCAAGGTCAAGTCACCATCATCTTTCACCTGGGTCATTGCAATTGCTTCCGAACTGCTCTTTCTGCCTCTGCCCTGGCCGCCAGTAATGATTTATTCAACACAGCAGTCTGAGGCAGCCTTAATAAGTAAGGCAGATCATGTCCTTCCTCTGCTCAATGGCTTCATTAGAAAGGCAAAGTTCTCTCAATGGTCTAGCAGCCAGTGGTCGGCAAACCTCGGCTCGCGAGCCACATGCAGCTCTTTGGCCCCTTGAGTGTGGCCCTTCCACAAAATACCACGTGCAGGCGGGCACATACAGTGCGATTG